AATGCAAGAGACACAGATATCTATAATGCATGTATATATGGAATATGAAATAGACAAAGAGGCAATTTTTAAGTACTAACGCCTACAGATCTATTTATCTAGATTTGCTGTGTATAAATCAAATTCATATCAATTTATATTTAAACATATTTAGAATGAGGAGTGGGCACAAATGCTTGGCAGGCTTAAAACCAATGTTGGGACGTGTGGCGTATTAAAAATCAATATTGACTGTTCATTGGCAGAAGTTTTGCTGCAGCGTGAAAGCAAAAAAAAAATCTGTTTATGGAAGAAGAATAAGGCAATAATAATGGCATAAGACAAAGGAGGTTTCCCTGATATATTAGCCTTGGGAGACGGTGGCTAAATTAGATTAATCTTTAACCTTACCAAGCAAGGTGTTTGCTCTTCTCTTTTATTCTTTGGGATAGTGTGATTGCCTGCATGGAAAAATGGCACAGCACAACTAGCCTTTGACAATTTAACCCAAAATTTCTGTTGCTAAGCAAGACAATTGTTAATTCATATGGCAGGAGTTATAGTGGCACAGTGATTAGAATGCAGGATTGCAGGCTAATTCTGCCTACTTCCAGGAGTTTGATCCTGACTGGCTCAAGGTTGACTCAGCCTTCCATCCTTCTGAGGTGGGTAAAATGAGTATCCAGGTTGCTGGGGGCAAGAGGTTGACTTTGTAAACCTCTCAGAGAGGGTTGTACAGCTTTGTGAAGCGGTATATAAATCTAACCGTTGTGCTATTTTCCTTCCTTCCTTCCTTCCTTCCTTCCTTCCTTCCTTCCTTCCTTCCTTCCTTCCTTCCTTCCTTCCTCAGACTCTGCCCACTGTCAGCAGTTCGATCCTAACCTGCACAAGGTTGATTCAGTCTTCTGTCCTTCCGAGGTGGGTAAAACAAGGACCCAAATTGTTTGGGGGGCAACATGCCGACTCTGTAAACTGCTTAGAGAGGGCTGTAAAAGCACTATGAAATGGCATATAAGTCTACTTGCTATTACTATTATAACAGCAGAAGGAAGTTTCCATGTACAAATCCAAGAAATTCAGGGAGCTTTGAGCCAAGGGTCAGCCTGAATTTGAAAGGTAGTCTTTCCGAGATCAGATGTATTCTGGTGCAGGTGAAGATTGAAAAATGTGACTCAAAAGAAGGAGTCCGACTTAACCTTTTGATTCCATCAACAACCCTGTTGGGTAAGAATATGGCAAGCTGAAGCCTTCCAAACATGCAGTCAAATACTTTCAACTGTTTACATCGAGAACTTGGCTTCTTGTGTATGTTTGTGAAGAGTGATCCAATAAATACGTCAATAGGGTCATCTCCCCGGCAGTGAGAATCTTGTTTACAAGACTGGTTCATTAGGAGCAGAATGTCTAGGGAGATTCTGTCATATAGGACATGGTTGTCCCAAAGATGGTTTTTATTTTCCATGGGGCAACTGGACTTTCTTGGATTTCTTGGAAAGGAATACCAGAAAGTCCAGTTGTCTCTTGAAAAAGCACTTTTGGGATGACCAGGAGCAGAAATTCTCTTCCATTTTTGGGCAGATGTGTGTGTGTATCTGTTCCAAGATTTTGCCATGCCCCTGTCAGAATCTGACTCGGAGGAGTGTGGCTCCATTGGCTGTGGAAGAAACTGGGGAAGGGCAAAGTCTGGCTAGGCAGAGCAAGGGAGAGGTAGAACAAGGGAGAGGGAATTCAGATGAAGACCAGGCCCACCTCCTCTTCATCCTAGGGCACTCAGGAAGGAATGGAGAAGGGAGCAATGTGGGTTGCATGGCTTACGGGGGAGGAAAGGGCCCTGATTCCCTTCATTAGCTGCAGCCGGGAAGACAGTGCATAAAAAAGGCAAGCTTCATGCAACAAGCTGTTGGGAGCAAAGGTGAATTTAACTTGCATCGTCATGGCTTATCTCTGTTCCTGGCATCTTCCCAACTGTGTGAGTTTTGCAGTGCTTTCAAGTCTGAAATTCCTGCTCCTGCCAAACTAATTACTTCATTTTGGTTTGTTTGGATTTTAAGTTACGGTTTGTGTGTTCCTTGTTTTGGACTGAATTTTCTGTAGTTAAAGGCTTTTCCAGCTGCAGATAACCTGGATATTGGGGGGAAAAGTTGAAGATAATAAATGGACTCTTACTGCTTATCTCACTGTGTTGCCTTTGTGCCATGCCCTGGGTCATCACAGATGTTTAGTAGATACAGGTGTGTTTGGACCAGATTCAGCCAGTTTGGACCAGTTCGGGCAAGCTAGTAATTCCGGCCATTAGCTGGCTCCACACACCCGCCCCTGCCCTAGTCTGTCTTATATTTCTGTGTTTTGCAACCCATTAGATTCACGTGGCACAGTGGATTCCCACGCCTGAGCTATTTTACTCGCCGGGGCTGCAGCAGAAGGTAAATTTTGTAGCTGAAAACGGGTGATTGTCAAGTGCCCCACGTGCTCACCAAACCGGTTAGTACACCGGTTGAATCCAACCACTGAGTAGTTGGGTATCCTACTAAGGCAATGATATATCAGATTTAGTTGAGACTGGGACTTCCCGGGAAGAAATGATGAACTGAACAACGGTGGCCGAATGAAGATCCGGCGAGTAGAGCTTGTTCCTCTCCAGACAAGGAGAAGGCCTGAGATCGCCCACAAGGGCTCTGGATGCTTGCTCCTCACAAGGAGACTGCAAGGCAGCCATTTCCAAAAGGTTTAGACCTCTGAGAATTAAAGAAGTTTCCTTTTCTTATCACTTCCAGGAATTGCTTCCTAATTGCTTTTTAACTCTAAGGAATCTTTGAATCGACAGATTTCACAGCACCAAAGTGGCTTTCCTTCAATCTTTAGTGAGATTGAAGGAACAATATTTTAAATACAGGGTTTTTGTCTGTGTGGTTTGTTTATGTGTGTGTGTGTGTGTGTGTGTGTGTGTGTGTAATAAATAGCAAAAGGGAGAATAAAGTGTTAATCTTGGAAACTTACAAAAAGACCAAGGGTCCAAAGTTAACATTTTGAAGAATTTTGTGAGAAGGGACAAAGAAAAAAAAATGAAGTTAAATATTAGGACATTATTTGAAAGGATTAAAGATCAAGATTGTTAAAAGTTTTTTAAAAGGAAGGAAGATAATGTTAATTTATTTGTTAAAATATTAATATGGATACATTATCTCTGGGATCTCTTAATGAACTTTTGATCAGGATTGAAATGATGGGACTTTAAGGATTTGCTTATAGATAAGAGATGAGATTTGGGGAAAAGAATCCATTTGTTGTATTTTAAGGGTAGATGATAAATGACTAAAATTCGTTACCCTTCTGAGGAAAGAAAGTCATTCCTTTATATAATTCTTCTTTTTACTATATTTCTATATTTTCTATTTTTATTTCTATTATTTTCTTTTCCACACTTTTGTTTTATTCTTTACTTTTTTTAAGTTTGCCTTAGGTGTCTTTATATATATAAAGATGAGTTGAGGCTAGCTTAGTTCTGATTCACATGTAAGAAAGATGGAACTTAATGGCAATTTTGTCATTATACTTACCCATTTCTGAGATAATTTTCCTCATAAAACTCTGTTACAGTTTAATTTCATACCCAGTACGAAGCCTCTAACGAACAAATGGAAATAATGTCTCGTATCCATGGTAACAAATGAGATTTTCTTTACCTGATCTTAGGATGGAATTGAATTCTAAAACTATGACATTTTAGTACTGAAGGAAGCCTTCGTCACTTATATTCCCCCGGCTTTTAAAAACAGACAGATAACACAATGCACAGAAAGTAACTCCTCGCTTCGAAGGAGTGTTTTGTTTCGGGAGGCCTTTTAAATTTAGCTTGCGATCACCGTTCTCTGTCCAGAATAACTGTTTATCCTGCTTTTTTTTGTGGGAGTAGGGGAGAGAACCAAAATGAAAATGTCCTATTCTCTGTGCAAACGCCATTTCCTTCAGCAACAAAGACAAATTCCCGCGTCTGCAATGCAGGTTGGTTTTGTTACTATTTGCAAAAGAAAATATGGCCTCGGATTTTGCAAAGAGCAAGATTGATGCCGAAGAAATAATGAGTTTTCCTAGTTCGGACTGGTTCTGCCTCATTTTCATTACAATATCCCACAAAGTGTTGGGTGGCTAGGCCAGTCAACCTCTCAACAGGGTTGGGGAGAGGGGGGGAGGAAGAGGAATGAACACGAAGTATGTTCATCATCTTGAATTTATAAAATAAAAATAAATTAAAAAAATAAGCGAGGCAGGATATAAATAAATCAATCTTCCAAATAATAAGCAGCTGCTCGTGCAAGTCATTTAAGATTGATCGTCCTTGTATTTCAACGTTTTCTCTCTTACCACTTGCAATATTTGCGTTTTAATGGCTTTCTTTGTAAATCTAATATTCCAGAATTTCTGGTTTGGCCGTTTTTTGTCTTCCCCGGAGTCCGGAGGCTTCCCTTGGTCCTCTGGAATGGTGAAAATGGTCTCCCTCGGGCACTGGAGGGCCTCCAGAAGCCCCAAACAGGCCCGTTTCCAGACGTCCAGAACTTCCGGTTCAGCCCATTTTCCGCCCTCCCAGACTCTACGCGCAGACCCTGGGAGGGGAGGGGCAGGATGGGTGGGGCCAGCTGGTGGTTTCAACTACCAGTTTGGTGAACCAGGTGTAAATTTAACATCCGGTTTTCACCCAAACCTGTCCAAACCGGTAGAACCCCTCGCCCCTGGATTGCACCCAACTTGGAGATGTTTCCCCATTCCCAAGAACACTAGCAACTTAACTTCCCACGGGACAAGATCGGAACCAGGTTCATATATTTTAGGCGGATGTACCTGTTGCATGCCTTGGACTGTTTGCTGCAAAAACTGTAGTTGCTGGTCTTTTGTCAAGCTCTCTTCGGTGCGAAACAGCTGGCCTTTCTCTTGCTTGAGGAGCTCCACCTCGTTCCGGTAGGCATCGAGTTGCCATCGGAGGCTGTCGTTCTCTTCCTTCAAGGCGTAAGCTTGAGCGGCTAAGGCTGAGGAAAGGAACAGACTCGGTAGTTAAGATAGAAGAACAAGATTCGACAGATGTCGTGCCGGGGAAAAGTAAAGGGACGGGAAGTTGCAGCTACTCCTGTCAAAGAAATGAAATCGACGTTGTCTTGAGTTGGCTTGTTGATTCTGTCTTCTTCTGCAGGATTATAGCTGGCTATGAGTTAACCAGGGAATGTCCAAGAGACCGACCAACCATTTGATAGAAACTTCTCTGTCTTTGGTGCTCTCTGAGCTTGGTTGTTTTCCTGTAGACATTTCATTACGCAAACTGAATCTCATCATCAGTGCTAATAAAGAGTAGCTAGGTAGCACTGATGATGTTACTTAGTTCGGTCGTGAAATGTCTGCAAGAAAACAACCAAGATCAGAGAACACCCAATACGCCACAGTTCTTCTCCTCCTCTTCCTCCACTTTCTCTTCCTTCTCCTCCTCCTCCTCTGCTCCTCCTCCTCCTCCCCCTCTGCTCCTCAACCCTCCCCCCTGTAGTGAATTAATTTAAAAATATTTAGTATCCTTTTTCTGCCTCTGGTCTCATTTATCCAACCATTTTGGTCCATGGGGCCATACCAAATTTTGGTTTTCAATCTGCCTCCCCAGCCTTAAGTTGGCTCAATATTCCCCTTGAAAAACATGCATGACCTTGCAGCAAAAACTTTGCATGAGTAAAAAAAAAAAAAACCCACTAAATATTTCAGATCACAGACTCTGTTCTTTTATGCCATAAATGAAAGTCCATTTTTTTTTCTTAAAAGCATCTTATTCTGACCCACCTTCAAAGAGATGGCTCGTTTTATCAGTTTTTAAAGTCTGAAGAATGGAATCTCCCTGGCAGAAATGTTTCTGAGTCACCAGCTAATTTTTCCTTTTTGTTCTTTGGATTCGGCTGCGGGAACCGAACGTTTTATCGCAAATGTTTATTCGAAAGCATTTATCTTATTTCTGAAGTGAAAGGGGTGATAAGAGATTGAGTCCCTCGAGGCTGAGGGAAACTTCAGCCATCTTGTCTTCTTAGCAACTAAACACTAAAGGACTTTGCTTTTTTGGGGGGTGTGGGAATTCAACTTAGAGCAGCTGCCGATAGCGGTGGCTTTCCCTGGGGATGTTTTTTTTCATCCAAACATTAAACCTGATTTAATTTTTAAAATTTCAGCGATGAATATTGATCACTTGCTGTGACCAATTACTGAAGGCTCGGCCTGCACAATGAGCCACAAAGATTATTCAAGCAGCTTACCGTGTTTCTTTCTTTAAAAAAAAACAACAACAGCAAACCAGGGGTGAGATTCTCCTGGTTTGGACTGGTTCTATAGAACCGGTTGTTATTATTCTGTGCAGTTCAGAGAAACGGCAAATCATGCCTCTGGCTGGCCCCTCCTTCTTACCCCCCCAGTCAGTCCTTATCACCCATGCGCGACATTGCACGCATGTCCGACATTGCTGACTACATTCTCCCCCATATCTCCTTAAGATATTTATTTCCCCTCTCTCCCAACGATCAGCTGTTCCGATGATCAGCTGTGCCAGGATCGCCCTCGCTGTCTTACTCCTTCGCCTAGGAGGCTTCCTTGAGGCCCAGGAGGCAAAAAAGGGTGGGGGGAAGGGGGGAGCTACGCCCCCACATTCCATTTTTTGCCTTCCTGGGCCCCAGGGAAGCATCCTGGGAGCAAAACTCCAGGAGGCTTCTGTGAGACCCAGAAGGCCCCAAAACGGAGTGTGAGTTAAACAAAAGAAGAAGCCACACACACCCCTTTTATTTAGGTTAAAGGGAATTCCTCCCCAGGAAAGTCCTGGACAACAGTCTTTCAAGAGATTTCACAACTACAGACTTTTATCATTGCCAGGCCGATATCTTCCAAACGCCATGCTGTAGCAGCAATTACTTGGCAAGAAGTCAGGAACAGATCTTCCCCCTAATGAATTGAACTAATTGTCTCCTGCAAACACCACTCCCCTTTCACTCCTCTTTATTCCCTATGTGAGGGGCCATTCACCATCTACCTGAGCTTTTACTCCTGAGTCAACCTTGTTCCTTAACTGTTCCCTTCTTCTGGCAGCTCTGTGCATGCGCACACCGGAACAGGCTCCAGCTGTTCTTCTGCCCACTGATGTCCAACTCCGAAGGCAGCTGATAACTGTCAGACGGCCCTGGCCGCATTTTTGCCACCGACACAGAGCCTCCCCCAGACTCCAGGACTGGCCCATGTTCCTACCCAACCTTTTCACTGTCCAAATCTGCTGCCAGCTTTGCTGGCCACTGCTGGCTCACAACAAGCATTGCCCATCTGGGCCTAAGACCGACACCCCAAGCTGAGCTATGAAAAAAAATCCGCCAATGAATGTTAGTCTCTGTTTTTGAGTTCCCTGGCAATTGAAAACGGTGGAACAGAATAAAAACGTATAAAATGCAAAGGGCTGGAAACATGTTGGCACCACAGAAGCATTACCACATTAAGCAGCACTGAAAGACACTTAAGTCATTTCCTAAGGAACCTGCGTTCGACTCCTTTTCAATTTAAAATGGCAGTTTTATTATCGTGACTGATAGCAGATGTTTGCGGGGAAATCGATTAGTATGCAGAGATGAAAATTACATTGTGGAAATGAATTGCACCCTCTGCCATGTAGGCTGAAGTTTGTGTTAGCAAAAGGCAGGAGACTATAAAACAGCACTATTTAAATAAATTATTTCGACATAAATATAGATAGGGATGAAAAATGTGCTATCTTCCAGCATGGTAGAAACATGGCTATAACTTACAGACAAACTTTCCATTTGCTTCCTTGATCTGGCTACCACAAGGACGGTTTTTAGCTTAGAAAATATTTTGCAAAGTTTAGGACCGTCATAAAATCCCATTCTCTGCCATGGAGCCATAATTGAATGCATAATCTCAACCCATCCTTTGAGCATTTGTAATCAAAGGCACATTATTTAGTCCACTACTCGTGATATAATTGTCATATGGAATACTACGGAATATTTAAAGGCCCGTCGGAAGGAATCTAAATGATCTGATTTCAAACAGCAGGAACTGTTTTTGTTTTTGTTTTTTTAAAAAATCTGACTTTTATAAGAGTCCATTTTCCCTTTAGAATCCAGAGGTAGAATGTTAGAATATTTGCTTTAGACTGGTCTTCCTCCATCTGGTACGTTCTGTTTCTGAGAGGGCTGCAACCTCCATCAAGAAGCAATTTAATCGGGGTCAGAGAAATCTTTAGTAGAGAGTAATAAGCTCTTCCCGATATCCATATTGGTGAAACCAGGCTCAATAGCAGGAACTGGGAGAGGGATCTTGGAGTCTTAGTGGACAACCAGCTAAATAGGAGCCAATGTTGTGCAGCAGCAGCCAAAAATGCTAATGCAATCCTAAATTGCATTAACAGAGGGATACAATCAAGATCAAGGGAAGTACCAATACCATTTTATAAAGCCTTAGTAAGACCACACCTAGAGTCCTGCATCCAGTTTTGGTCACCACACTATCAAAAAGATGTTGAGACTCTAGAAAGAGTGCAGAGAAGAGCAACCAGGATGATGAGGGGACTGGAGATAAAAACATATGAAGAATGGTTGCAGGAAGTGGGCCTGGCTAGTCTAGAGAAGAGAAGGATCAGAGGAGACAGGATAGCAGTCTTCCAGTGTTTGAGGGGCTGCCACAGGGAGGAGGAAGGGGTCAAGGTATTCTCCAAGGCACCCAAAGGCCAGACAAGGAATAATGGATGGAAACTGATCAAGGAGTGAGGTTCAACCTGGAAATAGGGAGGAATTTCCTGACAGTGGAACAATCAACCGATGGAACAGGAGTTGCCTTCAGAAGTTGTGGGAGCTTCATCCCTGGAGGCTTTCAAGAAGAGACTGGACTGCCATCTGTCAGCAATGGTGTACGGTTTCCTGCTTGGGTGGCAGGTTGGACTAGATGACCTAACAAGGTCCCTTCCAACTCTGTTAATCTAATCTAATATACAAGCGAGAGGATACAGGCGGTCCTCAACATGCGACCACGATTGAGCTAAACATTTCTGTTGCCGAGTGAAACATTGGTTAAGCAAACTTTGCCCGGTTTTATGGCTTCTCTTGGCACCGTTGTTAAGTGGATCGCTGCAGTGGCTAAGTCGGAAACACAGTCATTCAGTGAATCTGGCCTCCCCATTGAACTTAGCTCATCAGAAGGTTGCAAAAGGGGATCACACGACCCTAAGGTACTGTAACCGTCATAAATATGAGTCAGTGACCACGGGGATGCTGCAAAACCGTCCTAAGTGTGAAAAACTGAAAGAATCAGAACAGAAGTGGAAGGGACCTCAGAGGTCTTCTAGTCCAACCTCTTCCTCAAGCAGGAGACCTTATATCATTTCAGACAAGTGACTGTCCAGTCTCTTCTTAAAAGCCTCCAGTAATGAAGCAGCCACAACTTCTGGTGGCCAGCTCTTCTGCTGGTTAATTGTCATAAGTCATGGTTTTCTTCAGGACGGTTGTAACTTTGAACAGTCACTAAATGAACTGTTGTAAGTTGAGGACTACCTCTATTCCCCCCCCCCCCCTTGACCTGTAGAATTGTCAGGCACGAAAGACCAAGGTCCGCATGTGAAGGTTGAATCGGTTAAGCTGATTTGTTGCTAAAAGTCTATTTGCAGGAAGGGAAGTTGGACTTAGTTTGTTTGTGGCTACGCAGAGATTCTAGGGCTGATCCCTCTTTTCACTCCTCCCCTGAGCCAGTTCTTCTCCTACTGGAATTTCCCTGCTGAGAATTCCTTCAGTTTGTTCAAGGAGAATATGTTTTATTCGTTAGCACATCCAATTCTTATTTCAATATCACCACTTCCAAAAAAACTGACCTCGTCTTCAACAATATATCAAGAGATTTTGATCAGTGGAACAAGGAGAATGTTTCTTTTTTTCTTTTCTCTTCTCCTTTCTCTTCCTTTTCTTTCCCTCTTCCTTTCCTTTCCCTTCTCTCTTCCTTTCCTTTCTCTCTTTTCTCTTCTCCTTTCTCTTCCTTTCCCTTCTCTCTTCCTTTCCTTTCTCTCTTTTCTCTTCTCCTTTCTCTTCCTTTCCTTTCTCTCTTCCTTTCTTTTCTTTCTTCCTTTCCTTTCCCTTCTCTTTTCCTTTCCTTTCTCTCCTCTTTTCCTTTCCCTTTGCTCTTCCTTTCCCTCTTCCTTTCCTTTCTCTCATCCTTTCCTTTCCCTTCTCTCTTCCTTTCCTTTCTCTCATCCTTTCCTTTCCTTTCTCTCTTCTTTTCCTTTCCCTTCGCTCTTCCTTTCCTTTCCTTTCTCTCTTCCTTTCCTTTCCTTTCTCTCTTTCTTTCCTTTCCCTCTTCCTTTCCTTTCCTTTCCTTTCCCCTCCTCTCCTCTCCTCAACATAAAACATTTTAGAAATCCATTATTCTAACCACAAGAAAGCAGGTACCCTGTTCTTATTTTTTATTTTTTATGAAAGTCAGTATCTGAATAGGAGCAGTAGCTAGGCAGAACATTAGATGTTCTTTTTTAAAAAAAATCCTTTTGTTTCTTATGTTTGATTTGTACAATTTCCCACTCGCCTCTTGAATAAATTGCTTTGTGAAATATCCCGGACTTCTGCCTTCATAATAAATGATCTAGCATTGGTTTCGCTACTGAATGGATCTCGACTTTAAGGAGGGGCGGATAAAACCCTAAATGATGGAAGGCAGGCTACCTTTCTGTCTCTAAATATCAGTTATACTTGCCAGAGAGTAGGTGAGAGTGACAAGAATTTACCACTCCACTGAGATGTGAATTTGGAAAGTGGAACATTGTCCTGGGAGAATTGAGGCGGATCGAAGAGCCGAGAATTAAGCTGTTCTAAATTCACACCGTGATCTTCATCTCTAACAAGCCGCAAAGATTCTTTTGCCTGAAAGAATATGCAATGTAAATTATCTCACACTAAGGAGGCCTCTTTTAAGTGGCAGGTGTCACTCACTTTCCCCTAATCAAAGAGGCCAGACAATAAATTCAGATGCCTTGAAGGTCATTTTAATGAGAAGCTGACGGATGACGGTATAAAAAAAACAGCCCAACAATTTTGGAAAGCGGTTATTAATAAGATGATGCTGTTAATTATGCAGATATTAATTATGCAGATATTCAAATTATTTTTAAAATAGTTCTTCTCCCTTGCTTGTTTTTTTTGGGGGGTGGTGGTGGTGGATTTGAATGGAATTGTGGGGACTTTGCTAGCGGTTTCTCCACAGCAAATGGAAGGATAATGTGAATTTGGTTGATGGAGACCGATGCGGGATTTTCCACCTTGAAAACCGAAACAGGTCGATGTAAACTCTGGAACTCCAAGATGCCATACATTGTATAGCTATGTTGATTTTTTCACACATCTATAAATATGGAGACATATCAGTAGAATCAGGACAGGACATGTCAGAAGTAAGGCCAAGTTCTTTCAATGGAGAATGGCCGAGAGCCTGCAGTGAGATGATATCAGAGGACGTTAGGTGATTAGAGCTTCCTTAGATATCAAATTGCAATTCTAAAGTTGTGGTTATTTTATTGTGGTTTTATCTTGTTTTAATATATTGTCTCCTGTGTGTATTGTCTACATGTCCTATCT